GTATAGGCAGAGGCGCCTAGAGAAACATGCAGTGTCAGGCAGAAACCCGGTAACGTGTTGTTATGGCCAAATAAGTTGTTTATATATGCCAAAATTGCACACAATGTTACATTAGGACGAATGACATCCTTAGGGATCTCAAGATAGATCCGATTAAAAAATACATAAAGAACAGAGCCCTGAAATTATTTGCGAAAACTGACAGACTTACCAACATCGCGTTATCGAATCTCAGAATGGTTACATGCTCCTCGTGGAGGTATGCAGATCTGAGGTCAATTATTGCTTAGTCTGAGTAAAGCGAGGTTTTGAAGATACCTCGAGTTAATAAAGAGTAAAAGTGCTCAAGTGCACTTGCTCAATTAGCTTCAACATAAATGAAATTACAATAAGCAAAGACGATTGAAGTTAAGGTACCACATATATTACCAATAAGAAATTTAGTTGACCGAAATATCATCAGAGAAACGCTGTTAATGATAATTCATCAACAATGAAAACAGAAAGAAATCTCACTTTTTTTGAAGCGAAGTTTTACTGGCGATAAAAAAAATCAAATAAATACTATAAAATCCTACGTTAGCGATCATAATCCAAAGCTATTAATCCTTTCTAAACGACTTCAAATCCTGGATTGACGAAAAACAAAATTATGTTGAGTGTTAGGTAGGATAGGAAGAGAACTATCTATTATGAGCTGCTCTAACCTACAATTGGATCCAGTACAACGATTCATTTGATCATATACTACTCATAACTTAACCGCTTGAAGGAAACAATCAAGAAAAACCGACCAGAATTGGACAATAGAAAAGAAACCGTATTCCAACATGACAATACCAGGCCATATATCTTTGATGTCTCGAAACAAATTGACGGAACTTTATTGGGAAGTTTTTATGCATTCACCTTATAGTTTAAACCTTGCATCATCTGACTACCATTTGTAGGAGCAAACCACCGAAATGTGGCAACAAGGATGGAACAATAGCACTCAAGGATAATGAACAGCTCGATTGATACCAAATATATGGTAATCACCTGACTCACCAAACCGAAATCAGAAATAAATATCCATTTCCTGCACCGCATGGGAAAGGCGAATCTGCACAATTCCTACAATTTCTTATCTACAATTTTATTTTTATAATTGTTTCACATTTAGAGAACAGATAATAACCTAGATTAGTGCAATAAATCTCGAAAATATAATGGCAAAGATGAGAGCAAACCCAGTGAACTGGCGTAAGATAGAGTCATAAGTGATTCAAATCCTCAAAGCGAAAAAATTAGACCTAGAAAGGAGAATCAGAAACTAGGCTAATAAATAGTGCAGAGACTAAGAAAATGCAGTGAGAAATTGGACCTCTGAACGCAGATCGATCATCAGAAGAGCATGGCTTGAAATGTCAACATAAAAGACACCCTTCTCGAAGTAATACAAAAGCAATCCCGATGGAAAAAAGCCTCTCCGCAGAGAGTGTGTTTTAGTCCGTATACTACATATTAATATCGAGCACACTATTACGACGATGGTCTTTCTAACGATGCATAAAGCATTTCATCTCTTCACCACAAAAAAAAAATATAGGTGAGAATAGGAAGGTGATATATAACCAAATAATTCGTCCGTCACTTCTATATGGATGCGTAGCGTTTAGCAAAACCACAAGCACTACTATTCGTCAGCTAGAAATTGCACAAAGCCAGAGAGACTTTTTAAGGTACCACGATACATTAGCACGAATGACATCCTCAGGGACCTCAAGATTGATCCGATTGACAGATTGACAGACTTACCTTCGACATCGCGTTATCGAATATATATTACATATATTATTAATAAATTATATTAATAATATAAATTTAATGTTAATATTGCAATATAATTTGGTCGTAGACAAATAATCCAATAATCCAACGTCAAAATTTAATTAATTTGAGAAAATTTGTTAATTTTTTTAATTAAATTTCTTTAAAAAAAAAATTAATATTTTTAATTATGAATTTTTAATTCAAATAAATTCTTTTTAAATATTTTTGCAGTTTGACACAAAAACTTAAAACAATTATTTTCTAAAACAATATAATTTCAAAACATTACCTTACTTTTAATTAAATATAATAATAATATTGCAATATAATTTTATTTATTTTAATTATTTTAAGAATCAAATATCAAAATTTTTTTACTATTTATTATTGTTTTTATGTTTATTTCAAAAAATTAATATATTAAATCATGAAATTTCTATTTAAATAAATTTATTTATTTTTTTTTTAAATATATTTTAGCAATTTTACACAAAATCGTAAAAAAAATGTTTTAGTCTAGACAACCACCTTTTTTTGGCGCCATCACATTTTGTTTTTATTTCTTGCCATTGGCAAATAATTATTATTTAAAATTGTTATAATTTATATAATAAATAAATGCGTGCACATATCAGCTAACAAAATAATCACATAAATTATTTAAAAAGAAATATTTAGTAAATATTAAAACTTACTTTATATCATAATCCATCTGCTAAACTTTTTCCTTTTAAGCATTAATAGATTTTCTTCATTATTAAAGTTTTTTTTTAACTTATTAGACTTTCACACTTCGATGTATGCATTTGTTTTACTTTTATTTACATTTGATAATGATTTTTATAATTTTTATATTAAATAATTTAAACGCCAATCACCGCAGCAAAAGAAATAATGAAGAATGGCGCAAGAATTGTGGTTAAAAGAAATGTAAGCAAATTGCCAACCTCAAAATTTATACCAATTTTCACTTATTATACCAAATGCACATTGAACCAATGCTTTTAAAACTGTAATAGAGGTTGTTCACATTTAACTTTTTAAACTTCGAAATTATTGAGAAAAAATCAATAATATTTTAATTATTTAACTAATTACTTAATAATTGCTTATTTTATAAATAATTTGCTGAATATATCAATTTATATATTTACTTTCTATGTTAATACAAATACAAATGCAAACTAATTTACTCTAAATATACACAAAAGAATATTTATAAGAGCTATATATAACTTTTTTCTATCTAAAATTCTTAAAAATATTTTAAAATTAAAATTAAAAAACTTTTTAGCTAACATAAAACTTAACATAAAAACAGAATTTCAACTGTTTATATTTAGTGAAAGAGCAATAAAGCAACAATAAAGGTTTTACTTTCTATATCTATGTAACTACCTACATATATAGATTATAGCCTAGAGTTTATGGACTTTATAGCCTAGATTGGATAAAAATAAAACGAAAAGCCTTTTGGACTTCAGCAAACCTATAGTTCGTGTACTCATTGAAGTACTAACTGGGCACTGTGCCATTGTGTCTATGCTTCAACGCTGACGAGTTCCAACAAGTGTATTATGCAGAAGTTGCCAAGATGAGGAAGAGGTGGAATCCATCAACCACTTCCTATGTCTCTTTCCAGGGCTGCAGACAAGTCAACTTTAGAATCTTTATATCTTTTAATGTATATATATATATATAATATATATATATATATATATTATATATTATATATATATTATATATTATATATATATATATAATATATTATAATATATATATATATATATATATATATTCTTAAATCTATATTCTTTATATATGAGGAATATCTAAATTCTTCAGAGCTTTTGATTTACCGTTGTGTCCCACTGTGGTGGACTAGATGTTTTGCTTTCACACTTTAGTTATAGTATATTCTTACGCACCCTGCGTATTTCATATCATTTTATTAAAAATTCGCGGAAATTTCTGATATTGAATTTTATTTAGTTTAGACTTAAACCAAATTTTTGCGTGCCATCTGCAGTTAAATTTAATAAAGGTAGTTGAGTGACAATGACGCATGTATAGAAAGTATTAAAATAATCAATTTTGTTATTTTATTTAAAATATTAATTCTAAAATATTATTTTTATACGTTTTTATTTATATTTCTTTAATTTTAGGGTATTTGAATTAAAATATAAGTATATTTAAAAATATTTATTTTTATTATATAAAATATATATAAGTATTGATAAAGAAGCGGACAGACAATTTGCAAAACGTTGAGCAATAAAATTTATTACAAAAATAAATGCTTTTTATATTTATAAATATAAAAATAAAAATATATTTGATCAAAATACATATTAAAAAATAAATTTATACGGAAATATATTTATATATTACTATTTTAACTATATGTAATAATTTTTTTATCAATAAGCGTTTGAATAAAATATATATATAAATAAATATGTACGGAAATATGCTTATATTTCACTATTTTAAATATATATAATGTATATATATATACTCGCACACGACCTAAGTAAGTTACTGTTTGTAGTTGGGTTTTTACATCACGCTAGATGGTGTTGCGCTGGTTAATGTTACAGTAGTAACTATACTATATATACATATGTATATTGTCAAATAAACTGCACAATGCTTTTTATGAAAAGCATATGTTTTAGTTTTACTTCTTTATTTCTTAATTAAAACAACAATAATAATACAGTTACAGAAACGTTAAGTGTTTCTTTTTGCTTTTTAATTTCTTCTGCTATCGGCAGTTTGCCTTTTGCCAACAGATGGCCATGCGAACGCAACAAATTATAAATGACACTCACATAATGTGTTCGCCACAAGCCTTTGAATAAATTATATGTATATATAAATAAATCTATGTAAAAATTTACGTACTGTAGGCATTTAATAAAATATTTATTTGAATAAATCTATACGTAAATATGTTTATGTTTTACAATTTTAAATGTCAATAATAATTTTCATATCAATAAATCTTAGAAATAATTTTTATTTTAAATTTATAATATATAATACAACATACATAATATATTATAACATATATTATATATATAATATATAATAATATGTTTATTATGTGAACAATTTCATACTAATACGGCTTTGCAATAAAAGTTTTTTTTTTTTATTAAAAAATGTATTTATTTAACACTTGATTTCTTAGTGCCAGAGAAACATAAACTGAACAGCCTCTTTTATGCTGAGTACGGCCTCAACATCTGTGCGCGCACCAAAGTCAGCTGCTTACTGTCAAGTGCATAATTTTTTCTCGCTTGTTTTTTATGTTTATGATCGCCGTTTGCTTTAGCATGCGGTACAGTACAAGCAGCAGAAACAGAGGGAATTTGAAGAGAATTTGCTACGTGCTTTTATCAGCGCAGCAAACATAGTTTGTACATGAAATTTCGGTACTCGACACAAAAAAAGTGTTTGGAATTGGGTCGTCGCACTTGCGGTGTACGTGCATTAAAGGACGTCGGCATCTACTGCTTCTGCTTCTGCCACCGCACATCAAACACTAAACATAACAAAAAGTGCAAAACAGTTTGTTTTTGTTTTTGTTTTTTTATTTGCGAGTCAACAGCAAAGCAAAGCAAAGCGCGTCTCATATTCACCTTTGTTGGTTTATGCTGTTTGTTGTTGTTGTCGCGTTGTTGTTGTTGTGTTGATTGTTTTGCTTCAACTCGGATCTGTTTCGTTTGTTTAGCTACTCGCAGAGTATTTAAGCGAAAGCACAGTGTCGGCTAGCCAACATTCAACTCAAAGTCATAAACAAGTGAAGACGTCAGAAGTAGAAGTAAATTAAAACAACAACAAAAAGCCAAGTTGTGTAATTTATTTTGTGAAAAATAGCAAATAGAAAAAAAACGTTAAGCTAATTTTTAAAAGAATTATATTTGCATTATATTTGAATTCGATTTAAATCAATTAAATTTAAATTAGTGCGAAATGAGTGCTTTAACAAATCTCATCAAACAGAACAATTGCCGTGCTTGGCCACAAGCAGCTCAGCAAGGTAAACATGCCGGGAATTTGCAGCATTTAAATTTAAAAAAAAAATCCATAAATTATTTGCACTGTGAAGCACACAAAAATAATTAAATCATTTCTTTTACTTTCATCTACAAACGAATATTAATAATAGCAATTAAACTAATTAATTATTTATTGTATTGTTTTTTTTTAGTTGCGGGCTTTTGGAGTAGCTCAAGCAAGGCGAATTCAAATTCAAATTCCGTTTCGAAAGGCGAACGAAAGACGACCACTGAACGTGTAGTTGAATTCAAGAACAAGTTACGTGCTAAGACACCACTTGGCAAACTGGATGAGCTGTCACGTCATCCCTTCCAAGAACAGGAACCACTCAAGCCATGGCCAAACAATGTTAATCCATACACAGGCGAAATTGGTGGACCTGCCGGACCAGAACCCACACGTTATGGGGACTGGGAGCGTAAAGGGCGCGTATCCGATTTCTAGTCACAGCATGCTCTAGCTACTGCATCCTGCTACTTAAGTACATAAGTTCCACATATGTTAGATAAGCCATAAGTCGGTCGCATAGATAGGCGTTAATTAGGATAATTTGTGCGCTAGATTGATAAGCAGCCAACACCAGAGAACCCAGATCCAAGCAACGATCGTATACAGTGATTAAGTAAATTATAATATATTTATATATAAGTTAAAAATATATTAAATGAATAGTGATAAATGTTATTGAAATAAGTTAAGTGAATTCGAGAACGCGTTTTTAGTAAAGAAGAAGAAAGAAGAAACTGAATTATATTTTTCGACTGTTTATTGGAAAGATAAAACAACAAAAAAAAATTAATATTTTACAATACAAAAATATTATTACAGTAACAAAAATATTATTAAAATTGCAAAAATATTATAAAAATTGCAAAAATGTTATTAAAATTGTAAAAATATTATCATAACAATTGCAAAATTATTATTAAAATTGCAAAAAAAAACACTTATATTAAAAACAAGAAATAATACTTCGATAGATCTACCCATACATAAAAATTAAAAAAAAAAATAAACAAAAACTATAAAAAAATAATTATTTAGATTTTTTCTTCATATTTATTTAAAGGATTTTGTAATATTTTTTGAACCATTTGTTCACTGAGTTCCCACAGCTTCAGACGCAGTGTCGCCTTCTTCGACGATGTACTTGGCTCACAGAAATAACAATTGTTGAAATAGTAACCAGTTAATCCAGTCAGTTCATTGGCAGTGGCACAATAGATAGTTGTGGCGGCGCCTTGTTGCTTTAATATTTAAAAAAAAAATATATATATATATATAAGTGATTAAAAATATAACTGGAAAATTGAATTTACCAATGACTTTGTAAATGGACGTGCTAATGCGAAGAGCAAACGATAAAACCACCAGTTACGTTGTATTTTCGTTGAGATCATATTACCCGGATGCACTGAGAATACTGATATGCCGCGTGCTTTCCAACGCTGCAATAATATAAAAAAATATGTATATGTATAGGAAAAAAATAAATATATATGTTTAGGAAAAAATAAATATATACACAAAAAAATAAATATATATAAAAAAAAATTTATATAAAAAAAATATAAATTTATATATAAAAAAAATTATAAAAAAATAAATAAATATTTATAAAAAAAATAACTATGTATACATTGAAAATTAAATATATATAAAAAAAAATAAATATTTATAAAAAAAAATAAATATTTATAAAAAAAATAAATATATATACATAGAAAATTAAATATATATCAAAAAAAAATGCATATAAAAAAAAAAAAATAAATATACATAAAAAAATAAATATATAAAAAAAAAATTATAAAAAATAATAAATATTTATAAAAAATAACTATGTATACATTGAAATTAAATATATATAAAAAAATAAATATTTATAAAAAAAAATAAATATTTATAAAAAAAATAAATATATATACATTGAAAATTAAATATATATAAAAAAAATAAATATATAATACATATAAAAATTAAATATATATAAAAAAATAAATAATATATAAAAATAATATTAAATATATATATATAAAAAAATAATATATATATAAAAAAATAAATAAATATATATATAAAAAATAAAATATATGTATAAAAAACAAAAAAAATATCCACAAAAAAATAAATGTATATAAAAAAATATATATAAATAAAAAAAAATAAATATAAATAAAAATAAATATAAATAAAAATAAATATAAATAAAAATATATATAAATAAAAATAAATAAATATATAAAAAAACTTTATATAAATGTTTCTTTATTATAAAAATAAATTATCTTAGAAATGTCTTTAACATAAATTAAGGAAACTTGATTCAATATTTTTTAAATAGACACAATCGTTTGTCAAAACTTTTAATTTATTTTTTATTATTTTTATTTAATATTATTATTAATGAAAATAAAAAATTATAAATTAAATTAAAAGAAATAAAATTTGAAATATATAAACACGAAAGATAACGCCTCAATTATATTTTGATCCAACCAAATGGTAGCCTACTTAACACACTTTCCTTTTCATGGAAGTTTATGACGCTTTTCATCTATATATGTATGTCATGAATACAGGCAGTGCTATTATAAAACAAATAGGAAATCCACAGTTAAAAAAAATCTAGAAAATCTGCTCTATTTCTTATTAGAAATAGATTAAAATTTTTTGAAGTCACACTAGTTTTAGGAAACGGATCTTCGTCTCTTATGTTGTGTTGAACTATCTAACCCAAAATTCAAACTAAAGTTATTTGGAGTCTATATACTATATATACTATAGTTATAGTCTACTCATTTTTTTTGGATTTATGGTACTTAGTTTTAAGAGGCGGATTTTTATTCTTAATTTGTGTGTTAAGCTAACTATCAATAACTGTTCTATTATGAGGAGATATCTATTAAAACCTTGATTAAAGTTTTTTAGACAAATTAGTTTTAGGAGACGGGTTTTCGTCTTATATATTGTTTTGAACTATCTATCAAAACTTCGACTGAAATTTTTTAGAGTCACTAGTTTTAAGAGGCAAAATATTGTCTTTGGTAGTGTTCAATTTATTAAAGATTCCAAAACAATTTATTAAAAATTATTTTGGAGTCAGTAAATTTGAGAGAAGGAATTTCATTACTGATTTGCATGGATTATATCGACATAGTGACATAGAGTAGTTGTAAAAATCGCTAAGATTGGGCGACTTTACTGAAATACATGGTTAAATCGGTGTGCCTCAGAAATAGAAATCGTACATCTTATAGAAATCGTATAGAAATCTTATATCTTTAAAATATAAGCGGTGCATTTGTTTGAAAATAGAATATTTGGTAGAATTCAAGTTTAATTAGTCAAAGTGTTAAAAGTTAAAATGCATAAATAGTGAATTAAATTGATAATGAGCGCTTAATTTTATTTCTCTATGGTAAGTCTAGAGCTTGGAGCCTTTTAGGTCTTTTAATAATATCAATTTCTCTAAGTAAACTCACTATAAGTATTTAGTTTCTTATTGAATCGAGTTGGTGTCAATTAACACCTTTACTTAATTTTGTAGGTGGACCTGTTAGTGGGTCACTGGAAGTGTTAGCACATTTTAATATTTATGTGTGTTCCTGCCAAATATATAATTAAATTTATGGTATGTAAGTATATCGTCTATAATTACTATAAGAAAGTTGCATGCATTTATAAATAGAAGTAATTGTCACCGGTTATATGTTAGATAATAGATATTCGGTTAACTTTTTAATATGTACATAATATAGAGTTTTTAATATTGCATCAAAAAATCCTTACATTTGCCAATTCCTGGGCAAACAAAACATTGCACAACTTCGCATTATTATATGCCATCATGCTCCAATATTTTTCTGGCGGCGGCGATAAATGCTGTTCGGCGAGTTTGTCAGCCGGTAAATTTGCCATTCTGTAAATAGAAAGCCACAATTTGTGTTTGAGTCAAAGTCCACTTGCGAATATAATAAAAATAATAACAAATATACATAAATAGCAAAACAGAAAAACAAAACAAAATCATAGCACAAATTAAAAGAAAAAAATTATTAATCTAAATAAATTTGCATAAAACGTGAGCGTCAGCGTTTAATAGGTGATGGTGATAGTGCTGTTGTACAGCACATTGACAAATTCAAGTTCGATGGTAAGGCGACTTATAATAATAATAATGAAATTTTGGTTTTTAATTTTAATTGATCTCGGTACCAAACAATTTTTATATTAATGTTATGTTTGTTTATTTATATAAAACCATTCTACACATATATTTTAGGATTAAGAATTTTAGAATTGTCTTACCTCAAAGAAGTGCTTCATGTACTAATTTAGCAATATGTGAGAAAACAAAACACAACAACAAATTTTCAAGAGAAATTCTATTGTCTGATATATTATAGGTATTTACTCAGTGACAAATTCTATAGCCAAATTGTGGTTAACTCTTGGTTAATCTGCTTGCATCGTCTTAACTAATTGGCCAATGCAAATGTTAGTTAAACTGTCAGCTGTCACAACAACTCAACCTTTTGCTGGGCTCTTACTATTCCGAAAACAGATATATATCATTAAATGAAACAGCAGACAAAGTCATAAGAACCGGTTCTAATACGGTACCTTATAGACCACAACCATTTTTTTTGGTTTAATCTATTGTGAAACTTAATGTTGACGATTGAATCTAAAATAATAACTACAAACACATTAAATTGGTTTTACCCGAAATCAGTAGAATTATTATAGGTTTTTTGTGATCTTATGTCTTAAAGACTTCATACTATTAATTCATATGTTTTTGGGAGGGATTGAGTCAGTAGAATGATTGTAAATTTTCTTGTAATCCTATGTCTTAAAGATTTCATACGGTTTTGGGACGGATTGAGTCAGTAGAATGATTATAGGTTTCTTTTGATCCTATGTCTTAAAGACTTCAAACTACTAATTCATACTTTTTAGGGAGGGTTTGAGTTTTAGAGTTCTACGATGCCTTAATTAGCGTAATTCCTCTTAGACTTCCCGACAAAAGCTAGTATCGCTTTGTTTTGAGGACAACGGTATTTATAAGAATTTTCTTTGTTTCTTTTGCGCGTCCTCTAGACTCAAGACCAAACAGCTGTGAGATGAGCCTAAGAATTTAAATATAATTTTTTTCACTAAGACCCCATCTTTATAGCAATAATTCTTCAAAATAAAAAAATATATATTAATTAGTAGATAACAAAATAGGTCACCTAATTATTATTAATATTTATGGAAATAGATTTTTAAAATTAATATTATTTCCATTTTATCTTGTTAATATAATATTTTTCAAATTTATAATTTTATTATATGTATATTATATTCATACTAACTAAACTTATTTATTATAGAAATGTATGATAAGAAAAATTTATTATATATTTATTCTTAATCTCTTAATTCTCTTATTAATTATATGTATATAATCATAGCTATTATACTTTCTTGAACATTATTTCATAAATATTGATTGAACCATGGGTGGACACTCATTGTTTATGTATTTCTTATATCGCGAACAGGTGTTGAACCCCCAGCTCTTATGTACACACGAGAATATTTCTAAACACGAGCATGAGTCGATAAAAAGTATATCATTCAAAAACAAATACCGTGTCTATTATCTGCCTACGTACTAAGAAAAGTCAATATTATATAAACAATATATAATCTTTCTTTACAGTTATTGGGAAAAAAATTTCTTTATTTTATTAAACAATTAAACAAAAAATATAATCTTTACTTAAATACTTTCAAACAAGACAAATATTTTCTTTTCTAGACAGTGCCTGAAGTGCCTGATCTTTAGATATTTAATTTATTCTGTATCAGAATAAGTAAGATTACGGATTGATAAGAATGACAGTAAATATAACCAACGTAATTAGTAGACAAACATGCCAGTGTTAGTACACGTCGTTTACCTATAAATTTATCTATTCTATATAACATAGCCCGGTCAACGTAATCATTCTTCTTTAATCTATTTTATATAATAGCTTAAGGATATGAAATCAATTTGACAAGTTTTTTAATAAATGATAGATTACGACGATTATAAGCTAGTTCGAGAAATCGTTGTTTAGCTCAAATCAATCCAAGTTTTTTTAACTTTTCAAAACCTTAGATTAAAAGTAATTCAGAACTCTACTAATAATAATGAGTGATATCGATATAAGTAAACACCTTTATTTTTTCTACTAGATTTTGAGAATTGTTTATTTAAAGGCCACCTTCCACCTTCCAAATTCCTTTTTGAGAATTTCATTTTATTGCATCTTCACAACCTGACTCTATTTACTGCAATTAAATACGTCTGAAGAGCCTTATAATTGTGTAAACTATTAGTGGTGCTATACGCGGTACATTTCAGGACACCAGTGTCCAAGAACAAACAATTCACTGATTTGCATATCCAATGTCTGAAGTTCATCCAATATATTGAAACTTAAAAGAGAACTTAAAGTTTACCAGAACACAGATCTTAACAAATTACTACCAGTATATATATAGTAAGTGTTATCTATGGAAACATTACAAAGCCGATATTATAAACCAGCAGTTTTTTTATACTTCAATACGTATAGTTAATTAGAATTCCAATCTGGAATCCATACAATGTAAAAAGAATTGAACAAACATTATAATAGATTATATATTTGTTCCAATAAAGAATATAAAAGCAAATAATAATGAAACCGAATTATCTAAAAGCATCGATCGCTTATTTAATGACTATAAGTTTTAAGTAACTAGAACTAATAAAGTTCTTAAAGCTAGAAGAAACATAGTTTTAATTTTTTTTGATAGCAGCTCACGTTAGACCAAAGCTTAGTTGGTCTAAATTGCTCCCAAAATTCACACACAATCAACATCGTTCTGTTAGGTTAGATTGGAGTGGCGGCCTTATGCCGAAAGCTCACTTGAGCTCAAATAATGGTCCTTTGTAGTATTATAAGATACTAGTTAGTACGTACGCAGACTAAAGATCAGCGTATGACCAATGCAAAAAGTCACGACTACGCCATTAGGTAAAAATGAACCAACCTGACAATTCTATAAGCTAGACTAAGTCCCTCATTTTGCCGAATGACAGTTCTGTCAGATCGGTAAGATTTAAGATCTTCTCCTAGCTTAAGATGAATACTGACACATAATGTAGAGTACAGTTTTCGCTTTATTCGCCACAACCACAACCTTGACAAAATTATTATAGCGTAGACCCAGTTTCATAACATAACTTCCTATTACGTAGTGACCTGTCAGAAGCGATATCGTAGTGCTGAGCAGTTTTTAGATGACTGTTGCGTTTTTCGTTCAATTTATATCAGGTCAATTTAGAGATCTAACAGTTGTATTTCTAATCATTTCTACTGTATATTAACATTGTTTCCTATGCAAGTTATTCTCAGTATCAACAGCAGTCAGTGTTAATTGACTGGTGACTAGAGCACCCTGGCCATCACACCAGCATGCCAAATAAAGTATTGAACGTATAAATGCAGTATAGGCAGATTCAGAGAAAAACAATATGTGGTAGTTTCGTATGTATGTTATTATGAAATTGGTAGGTTTTATTTTTTTTTACTTATTTCTATTGTTAGACATTTATAGATATATCTCACTCTTCCTATGGTCGGTATATATTCCTTTGAATCAATTGATGTGACGGTTACTTTGTACCAGCCAGTGTACTCTGTCTGGTACAAAGTATACTCTTACTAAACGAGGGTTTCGAACTCATTAGAGTTCATTCTCATTCGAACAGCTTCTGGTAGGTTCTCAATGTAATGCTGGTTTGAGAGAAAATTAGGAAATAATCCAACACACATTTTCTTTTCGGAACACCTTCGGAGAGGTTCTCAACATAATGTTGGTTGAAAAGAAAGTTAGGTAATAAGTCAACATACATTTTTATGGGAACGTTAAAGGTAGTAGATGAATTACCGTAGATTACCAGAGATTTAGTCTTAATAGACTTTTAGGGTGACTTACTTACTGATACTAAATTCCTTTTAGCGCCTATATTTTAACGATTATTGCATTGTAAATAAAAATGCGCTACTGAGCTTAGCCTTTGATGGTACTGAATTATTGGAATGTACACAAGTGCACATACAATCACGCATTTACATATGTACTTACATGTAACTAGAAAAAATGTAACCCAACCGCATAGGCCAGGCCACGCGGACGCACCAAAACAATACAACAACAACACTAACAAAACATTGCTTATCACGCTGCAAATGAATGCTTGTGGAGGAATGGAGTTTATTTTAAGACGCATTTCTAAAGTATACCAGCAAACAAGCTAGTGAAAAACAGCACTGTTATTCATGCCAAATGCTGGGACGGCCGGTCGTCGGTTGTCGGTCGTCGGTTCCACTGAACTCAAATTTGGACTTTGTACTCGCAACAAGATAGGCAGGCACTGCGATACGCTGCGCTGCTATATATGCTGTGCTGTGTTTTGCTGCGTCAGTTAGTTTTATATTGAAATTTTAATAGAAAAAAAAAATAAACAAGACAAGACAACACCAACACCAACAATAAACATAAACAATAAATATAAACAAATCAATTGTACATGACAAAAAAAAAAAAGATACTCTGCTTCTTATTAAGCCACACTTTTTGTTTTGTTCAGTGCTCAGTACCCGTTGTACAGTAGCAATTAGCAATTAGCAATTCTGCAGCAGTTAAGCTTAAGCTTTTTCTAAGACCCCATATACTATATATCTAGGTATGTATGTAGGCATGCATAAGTATGAACAGCGCTGGCGTCATTAGAAATTTTAAACACATATATGGTGACTTTTTTTGCTGGGAAGAATTTTTTTAAACCAATATTACCAGCAATCAGAATCAGACTTTTTTTCTGGTTTTTGG